ACGCCTTCGCACTGTTGGGATAGAACCTGATGTAAGATCTGGTGAGACGAGATGTCGTTTTTGGCAGGAGGTGCTCGATAAGCTCCCACTGTTTCAAGCGAACATGTACTTCATCTCACCGAGATATATTTTCCATAAGCCATATAATGTTTTAAAGGAACAAATAGAAGAGCCGGAAGTACGATTCATATCTACACCGACGGTTCGAAAAAAAAACAAGGCTCAGGAATATACTTCAGATCCTTAAACCTAAATATAAAATGGGCTGTAAGCAGTAGTGCCAGTGTAGTTAAAACCGAGCTCACGGGATTCTCATAACAGCAAAAGAAATCACCAGAAGTAATATCACTGGAAGAAACTTGCTCATCTGTACAGATAGCAGAATGCCACGAAGCGTTGGCCGAACAATGTGGTCAACTTAAGATGGATCAAAGGTAACGCTAAATTAAAAGGTAAACGTCTTGCTGATTCACTTGCCAAGAAGGCGGCCAACCAAATATTTTTCGGACCTGGCTCTTCTATTGGACTGACAACATCGGTAGTGACAAACCTAATTAAAGAATATTCCCTTGTAAAATTCAGGGAAAGATGGGATGGAACAAGAAGCTGCAGACTTTCCAGGGAGCTTTTCAGTTATCTTGACAACACTACAGCAAACAAATACTTGACTATGACTGGACAAAATCTGCGCCTGATATTGCCAACTACGAAAGCATCTCCATATCCTGGGGCTCTCAGAATCCGTATTCTGTAGGGGGTGCGAATAAGATGAGACCATCGAGCAGATCCTCTACGATTGCCTGACGCTCTCATTTATTAAAAGATTTTGGTTCGGCGAGAATTGGCTCACATCGGCCGATATAAAAGAAGCACCTCTTGGCGACAATGTCAACTACATTAAATCTGTAGGCTGGCTCATGAGCTAGAAGGTGTCTATCTACTTAGGAGGTCGCACAATGTACTTAGTGAGACCTAAGTGCCTTGGGTTAGCCCACCCTCCACATGTTACAGATTCCATGCTTCAACAATAAAATAAGCCAGAAATAAGTTCATATTTCCCTTAAACTACCAAGAAAAACTTGATTTAATCTTTCAGCTCAAAGACACGATTCACAACATTTCCTGTCGGCAACCAGTATGCAGCAGTATATAGTCTAATCAACAAGTTCAAAAGCGTGTTTTTGGGACATACTATTACGAAAATTATGTTCAATAGCTCATTCGATTCGGAATAATGTCTAGATCAATGTGTGAAGAAAAATTTTGCAGTACATAAAAAAATTGCAAAAGTTATAAACACCTCAAAAACATGGTGTTTGGTTTTTCGCCTATAGTTTGTATACTATAAATATTTTTGGATTTTTCAAAAAAGATCCTTAAAGAGGAGGAAATTTGCTATAAATAAGTTCCAACTTCCGGAACTGTACCTCCATTATTTATAATTTTAATTTAACCCTCAAAGTAGCCTTCCGCGCGCCATTTTTAGGTTGCTCGCACGGCGTCGAAATCGAGTGTTACATAAAATACTTTTTTTAAGTTAATAAAATTAAATTCAAAAATTTTAAAAAATTACGGTGTATTCTAAACACTTAGAAGAATTCATTCCCGTTGGAATTTTTCATAAAAATTAATTTTCCAACAAAGTAGGTTATTGTTAATTAACAAAATTTTTAGAATTTCTCTCATCATTACAAATTGATAAAAATATTAAATAATTACCGAACATTTTTTTTGCTTCGTGGAGCTCTTTTTATATACATTTAAACAAAATAGCTTCATAAAAGTTTAAAAAATGTTAATACCTTGTTTATAATAATTTTTTAAAGTTTACAAAAACAAAAAAGTCACAGTGGTGCCATAAAATTTTTTTTCAATTTATTATAATATTACTGTTTTAATGTCGAAAAAATACATTTATTAATTAAAAAAAAATTTTCAATTTTCAATTCTTTTAAAATTTTTTTTTTTACAACTTTCTAGACAATTGCGCCAATTATGATTTAAAAAAAAATTTTTTTTCTTAATAATAACTTTTAATTGTTTATAATCGTTTTTTTAATATATCTATTGTTTAAATTATTAGTTAAGAAATGTGTTTTTTTTTTAATCATAATTGACAGTCCTCTACAAAGTGACAGCAAAAATTTTTTTTTATTAATAATTCCATTGTTTATTAAGTTAACCATTTGTTATAAACAAATTCCCAACTTTGGTATATTTTTTCCTGAAAGAAATAAAAATTTCAAAAACGACTTAGTGCATTAAAATTACGGAAAAAATTTTATTCCATTTTTTATTAAACTTTGAAAATATACGTACTATCAAAGTTGCAGCAGCTGATCCATTTGTTGACTTAAAAGTTGATATAACTTTTAAACTATTGCAGATACGACAATAAACATTTAAGTCATTTTTGTAGGCAATGAAATTATCTCTCAGATAAGTCATTTGTCAATTCCGTACCTATTGTCAATTTGTTGTTTTTTATATTTGTTTATAAAAATTGATTTTTTTTTAATCGAATGAGCTATTGAACATAATTTTCGTGATAGTATGTCCCAAAAACACGCTTTTGAACTTGTTGATTAGACTAATAGAAAAGAAGAACCTCATGATTAGAATTCAAGCTTTTATAAAGTTTATTAAACAGACAAGTATTATTGAGGGCTGTAGCTATAATATAATTCACAATTTGGTTCGTATAATTAAGTGCCTCTTGCAGATCATATCGATGAATCATGCAGTGAATGCCTGTTGCTTGGGGATCTAGTTATTTCACTTTTGTTCGTAAGTTCAACTGGTATTCCATCTGTACAAGCCCTACAGACAGTTTTTCACTGTAGTCCTCAAATTTCAAAGAAAGTACTTATCTTCGCCATGATTTATTAACTTTTTCTAGTGGTTGCAAGTATACTACAAAACAGGAACTCGTCTTTGATGTCATCTGAATTATTATAATATTTCGCAATTGAGAACTATTATCTCGCAAATAGCTGAATTTAATAAATCATTAAACATTAAAAACCTTTATTTGAAAGTTCAGTAAAAATAACATGGCGTTCCCCTGGAAAACACTGAGACCCGTTGGGTGTCGCGACCCACAGGTTGGGAACCACTTCAGTCTCTATTATGTAAAAGTATTTTTATTTTTTGAAAAATAAACATAGTCAAGAATAACGATACACCCATGTACCACTTTCTATAACTGGCGCTTTGGTTTCCTTTAATAAATTCCCATTAATTTAATTTTTTTCTTCAATCGTAATCTTTAATTTCAGTATCAGCTACTTTATTACTTATACTGTCGCTCCATTAAATCAGGGACTCATTATCTGGAACTTCATTATAATATAATTAATATACGTATCAGTATTGTGGTACGATTGGAAATTAATTCTGTCACAAACACGCTTTAAAAAAACGCGATAAATAAATATTCTTATCCATTGAAATATTCTGGATATTTACTGCATGCCGATTGAGTTGTTTTTTTTTAGATTCTACTATGCTTGACTGAAGAAATCTGCAATGTGGTGGATCGATAATAATAATATTTATGTCATTATTTAAATTAAAATATTATTCGTAATGATATCGGTAAAAAAGATAAGTAAGTAGTTTGTTGAATATTGGAAGACGATTCTTGAACGGTTTTTACGATGCCTACGAGTACGAGGGTTTAATAAATGTTCTTTTTATTTTCGTTTATTTTCTTATTTTTTATAAAGTTGATTATACGTTTTTTCTTTTGTTGAGCGAAAGGAAAACTAAAAGTATTACCTACAAATATATTTTTAATTTTCAATAGCAATTGATATCGTTCAAATGTCAAATTGACCATTATCAGGTCTGTAAGAAAAGTATAATTTATAATGGTGATAGAAAGTAAGTTTGACAATCAAGTGACATATTGACTTTTATTTTTTTAAATCTTATTTTAGATTTTTTTATAACAATAAAGCAAAAGTGCGTAACAATAATAATGAAAGTGATATTGTATGACATATGAAAACTATAGTAAACATTTGACTTATAGTTAATTTTAAGCTTTTTAAGAAAAACTACGAGTACCTACTAATTAATAAGATCTTTTTTTTTGAGTTTAAATCATAATTCTACAACTAATTGAGATATTGATTTGGTACTTTTTAAGATTAAAGTATAAAGAAAACTGGTTCCAACAGTTCTCTAATTTTATTTATAAATACTGTTTATAAATTTCTTTAAATAATTATTTAAATATAAACTACATACTCAAAATTATATTGATATTTTCAATAACCGATTAACTTTTTTATTTTTTAAAATTTTTCGGTACATACATCGACACAAATAAGCTCGAATGGTTTAAAAATAATACAACAATTATATTAATGTACTCTTGTTTTTTCTCACAGTAATATTTTTTCCAACTATTTAAAAAGGTTTTTCATTTTGATTGGTCGAAGAAGTTGTTTTTAAGAATTTTGCCGTTTTGTTAACCAATGCACGTAATTTTCATATTCCAAGTTTTATTTCTCAATTGTTTAACTTTACTAGTTTTGATTTTTGTCCCATATTACGTTAAATATTAGTAGTTTTTAAAGAGTTTAAAATTAACCAATTCCTTTTTTAACAGTTTTTAAATTTTCTATCATTTAATTTAATGTACGTACTAACTTTGTCATTCAATAATATATCACTTTCATTATTATTGTTATAGACTTCTGCTATATTGTTATAAATTTTTTTTATAAATTTGTTTATTTAATATGAGATTTCACTTAAATAATAAAATTGTTTCTATGTTTGTCTATAAAATTCAATATTTCAAACTTATTTTCTACATCATTATTGTAAATTGTACTTTTCTTACAAGCATGATGATGGTCAATTTGACCGAAACTAGTTGCCATTGAAAATAGGAAATTTGTTTCTAATTTAGACTTTGAGATTTATTTTCCTTAACTAAGCCACATTTGAGATATGGATAACCATCTAACGCTTTTTTGTTTTTTCAGGCGTACGAATTATCTACATTAACCGGTACTCAAGTGATGCTGCTGGTGGCGTCTGAGACCGGCCACGTGTACACCTTTGCTACCAGAAAACTTCAACCAATGATCACCAGTGAGGCAGGCAAGTATTGTTTAGGTATAATCATTTAACACCATTAATCCCTATTTTAGGCGACCTTGTTTATTTTTTTGATTTTCTTATCGATTGTCTGTTTCTTTTTTTTTCTAAACTTGGGTACGTAGTATACAATCATTGATTATTAGGGATATAGCTATAGATACATTGATTTCACAATTTTACTATTTTAAGCTAACTTTTTTAGGAGTTTTATAGCACAAAAGTCTCCACAAAAACCATTTTGTATATGAGGCTTGGCTCGGTTCCGTAGGGTATTTGTATCACGCGTTTATATTCATGTATTTGGGAATTTTGTGGTTAAGACCGCGTGCATTTTTAATTATTATGCATAGTTCGTTATTGGATTTGATTTGTGCCGTGTTAGCAGTAATTTAATTTCTGTTGATATGTCATCCAGATTACAAATCGCCATACGTTACGGTTTCGATGATGGTGGGTAAGGTTTTCCGGGTTTTTCTCTCCTGTAAGTCAAATGAGTCGCCCCAGAGCACCACTGCAAATAATAATAACATTAGCCGTCCCTTCCTCACACAAGCTCAGTCGGCTTCAGGGGTTAAAATTCACTCGCAAAGGTATGAATTTGGGAGAGTATTATTATATTATATCAAATCCAGATATTTGACTGGTTCTTCTATCTTATATAACTAAATAAAAAAATATTTATTATTTTTCGTGTCATATCTTCAGGCGAAATTATTCAATAACGCTACATTGGAATTTATATGAATATCCAATGTCTTCTTGTACAACAAATCGGAAGTAAACTAGATGAGACTCTACCAACAATTTATTCTGTTTATACCTGTACATCCATACCATACATGGTATAACAACCGTCACAATCATAAATTAGTACCGTTAGCCGAGTGCGAAAATAAGTACCAATAGAAGAGGGCACAAGTCAGGGCTGTATTGGAAACTTGACAATTTTTTTTTTGTAATTTGATTTGTTTTTACCTAGCTTTATTCGTTGTAAATTAAAGTTGGATGGGTAAATATACAGGGTTTTACTTAATTATAGACCGTAATTCCAAGGGCGCATTCCTGAAGCAAGTTTAAGTAGAAGAAATCATATAAACGTGTGTCCTAAAAAGCCTAGTTTTTAAGATATAGGATGTCAAAGTTTTTAAAAAAATAAAATAATATTGATCAAAAAAATGTACACTACTGATTTTTTATAATTTTTTGGATTACGTCGCTATAAAACAACTTTTTTGTCTATTTTTCGTATCTTACTTCGTTTTCGAGGAAAAAACAAAAACCACTTTATTGTATGTATCTGTAACGTGTGGGGGGTGGGTTACCCTCACGGCCCTTAGGCCTCACTAGGCCTATTGTGCATCCTCTTAAGATGATAGGCACCTCCTAGCTCCTCAGCCAGCCGACAGATTTAATGTAATGGATCTGCTCGATGGTCTCATCTTGTTCGCACCCTTTGCAGAGTGCGGATTCTGACAGCCCCATGATATGGAGATGCTTCCGTACTTGGCAATGACCAGTCAGAGTGTCTATGACTAGGCGCAGATTCTGTCTAGTCGTAGTCAAGTATTTGTTTTGGTGCAGTGTTGTCAGGATAATTTAAGAGGTCTCTGGCAACACTGCAGTTTCTTGTTTCATCCCATCTTTCCTTGAATTTCACGAGGGAAGGTTCTTTAATTAGGTCAGTCACTACCGATTTTGTCAGGCTAATAGAAGGGCCAAGTCCAAAAAGTATTTGGTTGGTTGCTTTCTTGGCTAGTGAATCAGCAAGACGGTTACCTTTCGATGTGGCGTGACCTTTGATCCATCTTAAGGTGACCACATTGTTGATGGATACTTCGGCCAAACCTTCGTGACATTCCAGTACTAACCCTGAATAAATTCGTGATCTGTTCAGGGTGAGAAGTGCTTGTCTGATATCTGTATAGATGAGCATGTTCCTTCCACTGATATTGTTTCTGGTGATATCTTTTGCTGCTATGAGAATCTCCACTGGCACTATTGCTCACAGCCCATTTTTTATTTAGGTTTAAAAATCTGGAGTATATTCCTGAGCCTTGTTTTGTTTTAGAACCATCGGTGTAGATATGAATCGTACCTGCCACTTCCGGCTCTTCTATTTATCCTATTATAACTTTATATGGCTTATGGAAGATATATCTCGGTGAGATGGAGTCCACGTTTGCTTAAACAGTGTGAACGTCTGGCCTCACCAGATCCTACATCAGGTTCTATTCCAACCGTGCAGAGGCGTGTCATTGTCGTCAGAGCAACCTCCTCAAGGGGAGTGAGGCTAAGAATGACTTACATGGGTCTGGTCGGTGTTGTTTTCATGACTTCTGTTATGTTGAGACATGCTGTTCTTTGAATTTGTTATAGTTTACGGATAGCTGTTAATTTTTGGGTTTTCGGTACCCAGACAACTGCACCGCATGTTAGCATAGGTCTTATGATAACCGTGTAAGTCCATGCGACGACTCTGTCGAAAAATTGTTAAAATAAAATCAAGTTAACTTTACTCGTTGCACAATAATATTTATAAGCCATTTTTTAAAGTCTAACAAATCAAAAATAATATCAATTCAATAGAATATTCACAAAAAATATTGGAAATTTTTAACTCCCGCTTCTGTGCAGGCTTCTGCTCTTCTTCTCATCGAGTGAGGAAGTCTTTCGAAAATTTCATAAGTGTTACGTATGGTTTCACATCCGTCAACAATTATATTCCTTAGTTGTTCTACTGTCTCGATTGGTATAACATAAACTAATGATTTTAGGCGACCCCATAAATAAAAATCTAGGCTATTCAAGTCGGGTGATCTATGTGGCCAGAATTGTGGTCTTCTACGACATATATAACGATTTTGGTAAGCACCATTCAAATACGAAGTAAAGGCAAATAATTTTGTAGAAAATTACTGTAAGACTGGCCGTTAAGTCGTCCTGGTATAAAAAGTGGCCCAATAGTCAAATATGATACCAATTCAAAATTGTTCCTGAAAATGAAGCATGAAGATTTTCTTGAGCCTAGATATTATTATTATGGAAATTAAATATTGCATTTCTAAAAAAATGCGCTTTGTCCGTAAACATAATGATTGTTTGCAAGTCTTTGAAGATACCATCTACAAAAATGCGTTCGCGATTCAAAATCTCTTGGAAGAAGTACCTGAACTCTGCACGTGGTAAGAATACAACAAAGAAATTCTTAAAATTTCCCATACCATTGTATAATCAAATATTTAACTCCCTACCAATATTTTATTAGTGAGATAGAACTTACTTGTTTTTAATGAAACACCCTGTATAAGCATATTCATTTAAATATAATCATTGAAAGAAATTAAAATTTTATAGAAATTTGTAGAAAAACGTTTTCGATTTTTTTAATTATCGAGGTAGTCAAAAATTTTTTACTTTGAGTTTCGACATGCTTGTAACTCGGACAGCTACTATTTTAAAACTATGCCTTGAAAATAACATCAAATTTGAAAAAAAAAATAAAAATATTGATGAATTATTATTTAGAAAATATCATTGCCTGGCTTCTTTGGTGTTTAATTGAAGAAGTAATAAAGTTGATATTTGTACTTTTGGGACATATTTTTTATTTTTAAATTGGAGGGCTTTTTTTTTTTTCAACCTCCGATGGGCTATAAAGGAAAGACGGGTGAATAAAAAAAAATGATTTTATTACCAAAAGTAATGTACATTAAAGGTTACTTCTTTACATAATCACCTTGACGATTGAGGTGTTTGTCATAGCTTTGTAATCCCCTCGTCATGACATGAAGTGATGGTTTATTTGAGCTACTCGTCAGTTTGGAAGCGCTGCCCCTTGAGACACTTCTTCAGTTCATGGAAAAAATGTTAGTCACTCAACATATTCCAAAAAGACACTTATCATTACAAATGTTCAAATTAACTATGGATCTTTGCGCTAGGTCGGGACTATATGGCGGGTGTTCAAAAAGATCCCATTGAAATTGCTCAAGGAGCCGTTGGGTTACACAAGCATTATGAAGATATCGTCATGGATCATAACAATTCCAGAACTCAGCATGTCTCTTTTTGTGTTGAATAGATCCCCGTAAGCTCTCTCCATATACTTGATACATTCTTCGATGAATTTTCGCTTCACTATTCCCTTCTGTCTGTAAGAAACGAATAACACTTTGCAATAGACCTTTTCATCATGTGATGTGCGCAAGCGCAGCCACCATGTTGAAATAGCGGTAATTCAAAAGTTTCGTACTGTTTTGATCGACAATGGCTGGGAAAGCAATGTTATCTCTACAGAAAAATTAATCATTAGAAAAAAATCGTTGATAGTGAATAACTTTTTTATAACTCTGTGGAAGCGCATAGTGGTGAGCAGTTGAAAAGGAGGTTGAAGTGTCTTGGATGTTTGTTACAAAGGAACAAAGTGGACTAATTGAGAGGTTAGGTGTATCAATACTTTTTAACTCTGTAAAAAATTAATGAAAATAAATAATAATTATAACTTTATTCTAATTAATTATGCCAACCAACTATTACTACTTGCAGAAACACTTTAATTAGCATGAAAGTTAATCACGAGTATAATTAATAAAATAAATTATTTATTATTTTGAGGATCAACATGACATTTTTAATCATTTAATGTGTATACCGAAGTAGTATTTAATATTAAAAAAATATTGTTTAATACCACATGAGAATTTTCTTCTGTTGGACCACTTTCTCCATGAAAATGCAGTAAAATATAAGTATCTTTAGTAACATCATTAATCCATCGAAAACCGTTGTCACTTCGACCATATTTTTTCACATTTAATGCACATTTCGAATATCTTTTAATATGGATTTTGCCTGATAATTGTTTACGATATTGCAGTTAAGGCTTTGGAAAATTTATAAAATAATATCTATTGCATTTGAATGATTTATACCGTGTGTCACTTTTACATAACAATACTGTTTCGTTGTTCCTTTCCGTACAGATAACATAATTATAATTG